GCCCCTTTTGATGAGGTCAAGTTAAACCCCGTACGTCTGACTGGAACCCTCACCCGACATCGTACACTGTTAGTCCTATTGGTGTAGCCAGTTAAGCTAGCATATGTTCACTGTTTGACTGCTTGTTCTGAGTAGAATCCAAAGCAGTACTCCGGCTGTGGAAGCTGTGATAAGTCCATCTTGCTACAACCATCTAAGTCCATTCCGGAAAGCTCTGAGAATTTCGATACTACTTATCAAAGCTTTTATACTACGTATAAAAACCAAGGAGTTTTGCTTCGTTGCTCATTTTCATGGTCTTGCGACGGAAGAGCTTATCAGAATTTACTACCATTGATGGAAAGCGTTCGACATATTAATTACTTCATCACCATGCACGTCTACAATATATTTACTACAGCGAACATTTCAATCAAGTAGTCAGATGACTCACTCACATCTAGATTTGGAGAAAATACCAGGTGTATAAGTGATATTCTGCATGATGTTCAAAAATAAATCACATATTGCTGTGGTTGCTGATCACATGGAAGTTATTCCAGCTAGGCGTTAACAGTTAGTCTGCGTGTTCTGTGGACACCAAGCCAAGAGAATAGCAGGTAATTTAGAAGACGATTGGGCTGCTACGGTTCACGCTTGAGTAAACAAATAGTTATAGTAAAATCACACCTTACTAGAGTTATGTATTCCAATCACAGCGGTGGTTCCTTCGTACATGAATTACATGGAGTACAAACGTTGTACCTGGGTGTACTCTGGTGAATTTCCGACTACAAGATGACTAAAATCCCAAACATTTTCACCGCGCACATGTCGGCAACATTAATCAACAGCATAAGCTCTCGTGCCTTGTGGTCATCACCATATTTCGCTGACCGCAAGCACTTTAGGGCCTACCATTATCATCTGGCATTTAATTCCACTAGGATTGTTAACGTCTAATGGTACCCTGGTTAGCTTTATCATCAAACATTCCATTAGCTGTTTTGGGTTTCTCTACGAAGTAAATGGCAGCCCAACCATCTGGCAGAACAACCCAAAAGTACTGAGCATTTCTCAAACATTTTTACTTTCGAATGCTCAATAAAATGAACTATTAGGGCCAAATGGTTGCACATGCCACCTATAATTGTGCTTTACTTCACAAAGTTCTCCTTGCTATGTATTAAAATGGCACGGAATCAAACAACGAAAACTATAAACTCGCAGGAACTGACTCAAGCAACGCCTGGCAACCAAGGGATGTTATTTGTTTCAGCTACCAGTCTTTCATCATTCGACTGTTATTTCGGTTCCTTCAAATTGGATGGAAACCATCTCCCTTGAGTTTTGATTTCAAGGTAACCACCTAAATTAGAGTCTAGCTTCGGGAATTCGTAGCTTAAAATTCAGCCCTCAGCACGTTGCCCGTGCATGAGTCCGAATTAACCCGCACGAAAAACATACTCCCGCTTGGGTGATGCGTGAGTTGCTGACCCAGCAGTCAAATGGCGGTAATTCAAACTTTACGTTCTAATGGTTACAAGTACTGTAGGTAAGCTGTAATAACAGCGGAACTCGCTCTTTGGTATAGAAAAATTGCCATGATTGAAATTAGACAAAAAACGTTCTTCAAAGGAGAATGATGTCAAAATTCTAGAGAAATTTATTATCGCCCGCAATACTCCGAAGTTGGACCCTGACTATTCATTAAGGAAAAACGGGGCTTTAAGCATACCTCAGTTTTGGGGAGACCGATGGCCACATGGCCCAAATTACCCAATCAGCTGCTCAGTTAGTTCTGTTATCATCAGCAACACAGGCCAATCTCCAATGCAAGCCGCGTTCTGCAGACGACCCATCTGTCTCACACGATATATACACTTGAGGAACAGATAGGAGCTTATGCTAACCCATCTCATAACAAATGCCTAGTTAGTTGGGTCAGGTGGCTTATCAATCTGCAGATGGCCCGCAGGCTGAGGCCCGAAGACCTGCCTCTTTGGGCACCAAATGAGTCCCATTCACTGGACACAGCTGATTCCAGTAGAGCGTTCAGAATTTCACTGTGGAGTTGACTGGAGGTTACTGGCCTACATTGATGCCACATTAATCAGTCAATACCGACCTAACATCTGCACAGAGATTACATTGAAGGAAGCCATAAACTTGCCTTGGAATCAAGAACCGGATCCGATTGGTCTTCGACAACACTGGCCCCCCCCCACTGTTTGATTATTTATTTATTTATTTATTTATTTATTTATTTATTTATTTATTTATTTATTTATTTATTTATTTATTTATTTATTTATGGCAGCTGATGAGATAAAAGCGAAATGTCGAAAAACGGCGGCCTTGACTCATTACTGCATTACGCAAATAGATGAAGGGAACTAAATGTTTCAAACACCATTTAACTGTCAAATGGGATAAGTGAACCAGCGCTTATAAAGTCCGTCTCAATTACTTTCAGAATTCACCCAAAGGGTCAAACGGTTGAATTGTTGAGTGCTTGTTGGATTGAGGAAATTTGTTGGTCAATTATTGCAGGAAATCGTGTCACCATTATTGCATGAAGCTAGGAAATTAACGGTTGACGGTGCTAAGAAATGTGGGCAATTCGGGTGCATCCATTAGCTATTGGCCGGACATCCGAACTCAGACATTTATTCGCAAACAGCTTGTCACCACTGAACGACATCCCATCAATGTGCCGATGATTTTAATGACGAAAGTGAAACTCGAAAACCTAGCTTGGCGAACGGGACACCAAATTGCGGGAGTATTTGGTTATCACGAAATATGCAAACCAATGAGATATTGGAAATGCATACGGTTGACAAGTCAGAATTTTTCAATAAATATTGCTGAAATAATAGAGCTAGAATGAAATAGAGAACAACCTAATGTACAATAGTAGACACTAGGTTTATGGACAAACTTTGCAGGTCCTCACACTGCTGACAACTACAAACAGTTCTGAGGAAGATTAAAATTCACCCGATGAGTGAAGCTTCCATCTGAGAAGTCGTTGCTTGAGGAGCCAGTTAACATGTGACTACGTGATATGGATCCCGTGATTGAAAGACGCTATATTCTTTCTAAGTGCTAGTTAATCACACAGCTGATCAACCACTCGTAGCCGAATAGTTAAGTGTTCAAGCAACTAACCGGGAGGTCACGAAAGTGGTGCTTTCTAGAATTTTGTGAGATCTGCACTGCTGCTGATTGCCAATAAGAATGGAATTGAATTTCCACTAATAATAGGGGTCTTTTTAAGGCGTTGTTTTCGCACATGCAGTTGAAATTTAAAAGAGCCACAAAGGCTAATAAAAGTGATGTTTTCGGAATATAGCTCATTTGCCGCTTTATGACCCAGACCTTGTTCCACTACGTTCATTCATCACCATCCGTTCAATATTTACGTCAGCTCTAATTGGTCAACTTATATCAGATTAGGTTGGGCAGATTTGTGCCAGAAGACTGCTTCTGGATTCCACCTAGAATGCGATCGAACTGGACGTCATTCCTAAAAATACCAAGTTCACAGTTCAAGGATTTACTTTTGTGCATTCCACCTGTCTTTTAGACAGGCTTCATAATGATATAATTTTCCTTACGTTGTATTCGAAAACGTAATTCTTAGGAAGTATCTACATTTACATTATAAAATCACTAGGTTAGTAAACTGACCTCTTTTTCTACCTCGTTTGTTGGTTTTACTTCACTATACAAACGATTCAAAGGTCGGATTTCCACATTCTCACATGAGTCTAGCGTAATCTACCAGCTAATTATGATCATCCATACCATTCCGCAAATTTATGATGGTTTCCTAAGTCGAATATTCCAGCAGGATAAGGAAGTCTTGGCTTAGTTGTGCGAGGGAGTTGAAAAGGTGGGTCTGTGTTTGGCAGAAGCATGGGACGTTCACACGGAGTGGAAATTGCACGTTCCCTGTGCTTCCAGAATACAATATGGCAGTGTTGCACAAACCGTCAGTGCGCAACGACTTGGCGCAAAGCTCAGTAGACTGTGTGTGTATCCTTTGTTTATGGTTTGCTTTCTCGAAGACAAAAAGTTCTTTGATGGTCTCTACTGGGCTGGAGTCTGCTAAAGTTGGAGAACATTCTTAGATGCTTACTTGTCCTTAAGAACCAGATGTGAGCTGTGGGTTTCGTCTGCATTCATACAAATGGGAGTACTTGGGTCAAAACACGGCCATCTATCTGCACACAGTGTGGGCAGCTACTTAGCTAGTGGTGAGCTCGAAACCGAAATTTCCCTGATTTCGTGTCAGAATCCAATTGAAAAACGGCCATTAACCGTGCGCTTGTTTCACGTGTGAGGCAAGCGGTTCCTAGCTCCATACGATGTAGGGTTTTGTGAACAATAGTTGGATGGAAACCTGCTTCATATCCTAACAAATGACGTCAACCAGGAAACTACACCAACTAAGAAGCTTGATCAATAAAAACTCTGAGCGGTAGTCCGGAGGTCAAAAGAAGGAAACCATGCTTCAAGGGTAATCTATTTACCGATTCTAACTGAGGGCGATTTGTGGAATACGGATATTTCAGGTGCGCTGCTTTGTTGCTGGTCTGTTCACCAAATTTGATAATTGGGTTGCAAACGTTTCATACCAACCAAGGTGATATTTTCAGTGCAGGGTTGGGTAGGTGGTGTGGCCCACTCAACGACGCATTGAGGCATATTGTAAAAAATCCTTTAATGCACGTCCAATGACTGATGATATCCACCAGGGATCTCACGTGGTACTCCTCAGCAGCTTTCCCGAGAAACGCTGAAAATTGTAGTGACGGGATGATTCAAAAGACATCCACCTAAAAATTGCCCTTGGATTTTCGCGAAAAATAACACAAGATTCTATGAAATATATAACCAGCCTATAGAACAAGTTGGGAACTCAGCGGTCTTCAAGCTTATGTTACTTGGCTGCAGGATATATTGTATAAAGTGCAGCTGGCTGAATGGTGTTCAACTCACGTTTTACTCACGTGAAAAGGGAATGAATAGTCGGCTGATGACGTCCTCGAAATGCCGCCAGTAGACGTCTTGATTTACAGGATTTGCTTATTGCGCTCAGTCGATTGCTGACAGACGTGACTGAGCTGCGGATTTTGTCAGCATGCCACGTACCGTTTTCCTCAGAGCTATCATTTGTTTTGGCAGACGTCTTCTCAGACCCATTCGGTAGTTGCTCTGAGAGAGTCAAAGTTTCCTGAATTAAGTTTTCTATTTCTTCTGTTTTACCGCCATTGGTTCCATCCTCTATGTCGAAGGAGTTAGAAACCTGGGATGACGGCACAGCCTGTGAACTTCCTTCGGAAGTGTACTCTTCCTTGGATGCATTTAAAATGGCTGGAGGCAGTTGGTGATTTGTAATGACTAGCTTTTGGCTTGAGTTTATTGAATCCGTAATTGACGGTGTAGTCAGAACGACTGGTGAAGACACAACCGGAAGATCTGAACAGGATGGGAACACTTTTTCACTTGTCTGTTGTGAAGAGACCTTTTCCTGGGGGACCTGATAACAGAAGTGATTCGGTTAGCAACGTTATGAATAGGAGACGTGAAAGTTGATACAGCAGCCATGGCAATGAAAAAACAAGCAACTTTTGGTTGTATACTCAGTTGTTACAGTAGAAATTAAAAAAGGCTTTCAACAAGGATTTTACTAGTCCAAAGCAATTTGTTTGAGTATATTTTTGTTGGTTGGTGTGTTGCGGTATAGTAAGCTATATCATCTCTGTGAAGTAACACATAGGTGGATGGAAATTCATGAGCGACTTTCCTTCGCTTGCCACCGCGGTGGTGTGTGTGTGAAGAAGTTCACTTTGGTCACAGGGCAGCTCTCAATACAAAAATGGCTCCATATCATCGCGCACATTCTGAACAAGAATGGATTTACTCACATCAAGTCCATGTGGAAACATCTCCATGGGCTGTATATCAGGGCTCAGTAGCCCAGCTGGAGTTGTCATCCAAGGAAGGTTATTGGCCGGCATGGACCTACATAAACTCACTGAATGTTAGAATGGTCCTTTCCTAGTATGAGCAATAGAGGATCCCGCTGACAACAAATGTAATTCAGTATAGGTCAGGGTAAGTCAGCCAGTGCGATTCAGCCTGGCAAAAGTGACCGTCAGGACAAAGGCCTTATCCAAGACAACCATCAGAGGCTCGTAAGAACCTCATTTCAAAAATGCACTGTTTTTTTCTAGAGTCCGAAAGTATATAAACCATTTTGCATCCCTAATGCAGAGCATCAACGTAACCGTAGACACTGAATGATTTGATGTGGTCTCTTGAACTGAGTGCCATGTGAGACTGAGAAAATTGGGCAACTCCAAACACACGTTGGAACAAACAGTTGATTCAGTAAAATTTCAAAAGAGAAACGCATCCATAAGGAACATGCGTATTATTTCCATGAATCGGTTACGTTGTTTAAATTAAAGTTGCCTCAGAACATCTCCTTTGGTCTAGTTGTTGATTCGTTGCCCATTGGATTAATGCTGTACTGCTTATCAAGGCACTTAATCCAAATATTTGGAGGGCCCTTCCGGATACCCATTTTTTAAACAGTCGACAGATTTTCAGCAACCTTATAAGTACTGCATTACAAATTTAAACAGTTCGATTCTCACAGGCTTTACTGATGTTTAGGATCCTGTACATTAGAAAAAATGAATCACCCAAAAGTTCACCGAGAGGAAGATTGTTCATATTTCTGTGGTATACGGCTCCCTTTATTAACATTTTCTGTATAGGGTCATTCGTTCCATTTAGATTACGAGTGCTTTGCTTTTCATTTTTTTTTAAGGTCACTTGAGATAAGGTGATCTGACCCACCACTAGGTTGTCTCAGCACTAAAATGATTCTGGAACTACTAACGGTCTGAAAAGTCAAGCCTTCGATTTTCGTTGCTGGAACTCACACTTTGGTCGAAATTCGCTCCATCAGTGTTCCTTTGCGAACCTAAAAGGCAGGAACTAAAGGACAGAAGATCTTTTGCTCTGAAGCGGAGGAGAGGAAATCTGGTAATTGTCTACCGTTTAGAGAGGTGTCTTTGTCTTGTTTTTAATTTTCCATTTATTTCTTGCACGTAATTAGCTGTGGGCATGTCACGAATATAAAATCATCTAGTCGAATGACTTCCGTTGGGTTACCAAAGTGGAGGTCAACGAATCTAGTTACTATGGCTACTTTCGTCGGAACAACCAGTTGATGAAGAGTTACTTTCTTCACAGTAGGCTAGTCAATCCAAGGATACCTTTTTCATAGGGTTAGGTGGAAAACCTAGCAAACAGCTAGCAGCTAGCTAGCTGGCAGCCAACTGCTTCGCTCGACAAACAGACCTACAACCAAGTAATAAGTGACCAGTTTGCAAGTTGTGCAAGTAAAAGTGGCCAAAGTTTACAAAAAACTCACCGGTTTCTTATCAGCAGCGTTTAAATCACTGCCAGTCAAAACTTGATCCTCTGTGCTACGTAAAGCTGGGACAGTTTCGCCTCTGTTAAGGTCCATTTTAGAATCTTGGAATCGATTGTTCGCTAAGGGCGGTTTCATGCGCTCCGATGGAGTACGAATCACGTGTTTGAAGTCTTCCCAGAACGGATGCAAAAATGCTGCGTATAGCTGATCGTCTGCATAATGTGTATGATAATATACCATTAGGGCTTTTGTAGCATATACTGAAGGATAGTAAAGAAAGTCCGGTTCAAGGTATACGCGGTTTAAATTTACACCTCGAGAATCACTGCGGTAGTGACCACGAACAACACCGTCGGGGTTCAATAGAGGAATGAGTTTGAACACATATTGCTTGCGCAGCTGACATGCTCTGGCATCTGTTGGTCGTAGCAGTAGTTCGAGAAGACCATTGAACACATGGCTCGACGGTGTCTCACCGGGATGAACACGAGAGGATATGAAGACAACCTGCAGATGAATGATGGGTCATATATGTATCTACTCAGAGTTGAAGTAGGGATGCAGAGAGTAGTAACAACCATGGTGGGTGAGTTAGCAGGAAAACTATTGGACTGTCTTAGAAACAAATGTTGCTACATTGATTGACGAGGGAATTTACAACAATCGGCAATGTGTTTTCGGAATCAATAACCTGTATGTGGCAATCTCTTGAATACACGGCAAACATAGGACTAGAAGAAGCCCCACGACAATAACGGAAATTAGGTTTAGGTCAAACTGGCCGAAACAAATAGAGGATATTCGAACAATACACCTCATGGATTGTAGCTCATTATCAAACCCTGTTTTAGGAACGTATATCAGCACAATCAAGGGAAACTACTCTGACCCGTTTGTGGCAAGCCGTCCAGAGTGAACAGCCTTAACTTTTACAGTCAGAGTCCATACACGGGCAGCAACTAAGATGCGGGTGCTAGCGATGTCATTTCTGCAGCTCCTTTCAGTGTACTCTAGCTTTACGCAATAGTCACTAAATTGAGCAGGCACTTCTAGGAAGGTATCTTAGCCCAGAAATGATTCAATTACATCTCCATCTCCCAAAATTGTAAACAGTACCCGGTCTCCGTTTTTCATATAATTTTGTGCACAAAGTAGAATGAACTTATAAAAATGGCTTATTAACTGTCGTCAGATTATTCTGTAGTTGACTACCAATAGGAATGAAGCATCAAGTAGCCATTATGCCCATAAGATACTTTTGAGAAATTTCTTGTAGAATAAAAAGCCTTTTAGTTGTTTTAAATGATGGTTTGTCTGCCCCTTTTGTGAAACGGCCAGAACTTACAGAGACGGCATTGGCGAGTGGAAGTAGTAAACAGTTGGGTAAACGAGATACTTAAACAAAAAGATATAGACCTCCGACCAACATCTGTCTACCTTACAGCAAGCAGGTAAGTAACAGCAATCACGTAAATGACAATTCCCCTCTGAAAATGAAAAACTTGACGAACTTATATTGTATGGAATACACAAGAGAGTTTGATTACGCGTATGCGATTCCACTCATTGTGTCGACATAATTGGGCTTGGGTTTCACGAAATTTGTAAACGAAAAACTCTCAACCGTTTTCAAGTTCATTAGAAATCATGAGACGGGAAAGGTGCTGACGACTAAGGTTTTTCACTTGTAGAACAAGCGGTTGTGTTGAACAGTCAGGTTGCAGTTTAGTTTCATATGATGCGACTGGCCCGGTATTTCGCTTCATCTTGTTTTGATTTACACATGCTGCGGGGGGCGGAAGTGTACGAAATGGACACACCGCAAAACCATTGTCCTCACTTATTTCCTCAAAATAAACGGAACGAAAATCTACGTCCTTTTATCCAGAAAGCTTTGCACAGGGAGCACGAAACAAAACTGAGTACAAGCAGAATGAACAGCAAAGCAAATTCTAATTCCTTTGGATCAGCAGATCCATTAACGAAAAATTGCTGCAAAGATTTGTGACGGGGAACGTCAAATATTTCCACCAGGAGCGTCTTCACAATAATTTTTAAGGCTCTTTCGGTGCATCTGGAGAAAACTTATTACTGGATAGTTATCATGAACTAGGGATACTATGCCAGCTTGGAAACTTGATAATCGTGGATATGATCGTCGATAATTTGGATGACAGGCATAAAGTGCGTGAAACCCACCTTTTTTCCTTCAAATTTCCACGGCCGAGGAAAGGATCGGTTGGGAAACAAAAGAGGATCGAAGTAGTCTTCTCTCTGCTCTTTGCGACCCGACCAGTCAGTGACGGTAAGTAAGTCTATTCGTCTTCCATCTAGGCTGTAGCACAGCAGTTCACGATGAAAGTAGATTTGTTGAAACAGGTCTGCACTTGTCAAACCGTCTTCAGTCGGACCAGAGACAGTCCTTCTCAGGTCAGCCTCCTTTGTGTCAGCGGATACTGTGAGGCTTGGTTTCACCTCAGTTGGAGCAGAAAACACCTGGTGGCGGAAAATCGCCTCCAAATGATCTAATTGGCGCTGTGTTTCTGTATATGACCAAGGAAAACTAAACGCGAAATAGGTTGAACTTCCACGCGGATCGATAAACCGATGAACAAAGGTGAGATTGAATTGTCCGTCAACAATTTCCCATGCAGGTCTGTCTCGAATGCGTTGCCATCTGAATATGAACGGAAGAAAAAGTCAATCGTCTAAAGTTTAACCACTAAAGTTTTCTGTTGATAGGATCTGGAAGGCGTCTTGCTATTGGATATGAGAACAACTGTTTTAAAAATATCCGACTTGTTGGCCGCTGATTTCAAGTAGAACAAGTGTCGAAAAACCAGGGCATCGTATGCTAATGGTTCCGGAGAAAAGTAATTTTCAAGACAGCTCGATTAGAAACGATCGTTTAATATACGAGGCGGACGAAAATTCTGGGTGACTGACTTTCACTTCACAGGAGTCAGGTAGCCTTTGACGAGTAGGAGGGCTGAGATGTCTCTCAGACCAAGACTACTAAGATCGGTAACAGATAACTTACCGTACTCCGTAGAAATTCTACAATTTAGCCATTGACTCCAACGTATCTATTATATAAACTAAAAAAAATATTAATAGTTGGGATTTCGTCGTGTAAGTTAAGCCAAGGTTTGCGAAAAAGCCGGGTCACTGTACAGCTGTTCCATTCATGTGGGAATCGTCAGCAATACGCACCTCATGAAACTCTAGTATAGAATCTCATACCCACGACCTCCCGGTTAGTAGTTTGAATAATTAATCGTTCAGACATGGACTGTTGGACAACAAGATTGTTGGCTCCCACATAGACAGGATACAGCGCCACTCGCCCTTCAATCTAAAAAACGAATCACGTGGTCATTTATTGACTGAGTGACTTCTCAGACGAAATCTTCATTTGTCTTGTGAACTTATTCATCTTCTCAGGCAATTATTGATTAATGGTACTATGAAGAGGTCTGGTAATTTTCAGTTGAGACCTTTCCTGTAAATAAAAAAATGCTGGATAACTTGTCCTCAGACTACGACTTTCCATCTTTCGTGAGAACGATCAAATGCTGAAGTTTATCACTTTAAATACGGGATTCCCTCCAAGGACTAACTTTATTCGTTGGCTTATAATAACATTTTGCTGTGATACAGAGTTGTAGTAGCATAGTTACCACATTATATTATAGCGCTGTTAACAGTGAACCAGGTATCGCTGTAGGAATGTGTGGTTGTATTACTGGAGCTGTGTACAATAACCGAAACATGCTCCGAATCCAAACTCCTAAGTTGAAGAGTTCATTTAGAACTTACACAAAAATCATCTCAACTGGGCGCTTACTAGTAATGCAAGGGTTCATTTATCAAGAAGTGACTGATTAACTGTCTATCGTACTCCAGGACGATATCGTTTCCCGCCTCACCGAAACATGCACACCAGGCACTCACTGACTAGCTTGACAAACGTTCGTTATCATTCAGCTCAAGGGGGGTCGGTGATCCGCTTCAAAATCGAGTGTACAAATTCATAATTGTCGTCCGCAATTCACTCAATAGGACAATTGTCTGATAATGACAAGACTAATGGTTTTGTACCCATCCTAAAAATGCAGTTTATTTCATAATACGATTGACTGAAGTTTGCATTCGAATTATTAAGGTTATCCAAAAGCCGGAAGAAATCCCCTTCATTATGTTCTCAAAGTGGTGTTGAGCATTCAGATGGATAAAGACCACTCACTTGGAAAAAAACTAAAAACAGCACAGCGTTGTCTAAGTGCATTCGAATTATTAAGGTTATCCAAAAGCCGGAAGAAATCCCCTTCATTATGTTCTCAAAGTGGTGTTGAGCATTCAGATGGATAAAGACCACTCACTTGGAAAAAAACTAAAAACAGCACAGCCTCAGTTGTCTAAGCATGGATTGGAACAGGGTGAAAATTGTGTTCGGGACTTTTGGACCGTCATCTTAGTATAGCGTCCGACTTTTATTCCGTGGCAAGTAGCTATTTAATAGTGGAGCCCTTTCAGCTATTGTGGGCCATCAAACCACCAGAAATCACAAATAATCTCCAACCATCAGGGTTTCCATATTTTGTTGGCGCAATCTGGGGCCAGAGATTACATTTTGTGGTTGGAGATAAAACATTGCCATAATTCTGAGGACATAATTGGTTACTTGAGCTTTCAAGGTGCAAATTAATGCTGTTCAGTGTTCCGCACGCCATAAACGACATTTTTATGAAGGTCTGTAAATTTGGGGATAATGACGACTGTGCCTCTGTGGCCTGATTATAATGGCATCACCTAAAGAACATGTTTTCTGGACGTCAGTGAAGAATGACATCGTTCAGCGGAAGCATTTACCTTGAATACTGCATTCAGAGTGACAGAAGCTGCAGCCGAATGCACAGTTTCCCCAGTCAGCGCACGCAATTGAATTCCGTACACCAAAAATGAGCAACCGAAGAAACAATAGTGTTTTCTTTATTTCCGTGCTGGCCCAAGATTTGGTAAATTTAATGCTCAAGAAGGCTGTCCAAGAATTGTTCCGATCGAGAATTAAGGACAAAGGCTTATCGCACGCTTCCGCATTGGAGTTATGGCGGTTTACTCAAGTGTGTCCTTTTATATGGCGTTTGCCAATTTTCATAGACTGAGTACATCAGATACCCAGTACTACTGAATATACACGGAGGAGACATGCCAGTTCAATACGAACATTACTTGTTGTCACTGGGTCAGTAGCACCAACAGGCATTGGTGTAACTCAGTTAAACCCAGAGTAAAACGACGAAACAAGAGAACTAATCGCGGTAATGTATTTTGCGGTTACAACCAAATTAGTGATAACCTAGTCTAAGGGCTTCATAATTTCGTGTCCCAGCTTGGTTATCTCCAGCGTGTCCAAGCTTACGAATGTCAGTTACTTTCTCTGCTACTTGCGGTTCGTGGTTTACCAAATATATTTGACTTGTCTAACAGAACGTCCACCAATATTCTGTCCGCCTCTGTTCGCTGGTTCGTTACTTGATCCAGCATTCACACTTAGTGCAATCTGATTTCCTGTTGGCCGTATGTTGACCGAAGGCTTAAGAATTCCTAAAAAGACCATCGCGGTTTTATCGCGGGTTACCTACCTAATCATCATTGAGGTGATCACAGAAATTCTCCTAATCGCAATCAGGCATATTATTGAGGTAGTCTGGAACCTTAGCTCATTATTGCAGCCAGGAAGTATTCTAACTAATCAGTACGACGCCGAAACTTTGAAAATCTGGTTCCACCCGGAAGGTAAAACTCATAAACGTTCGTTGTCTGCTTTCGATTCCGCTGCATTCGGTACATCCGTTGGCACTTCGTTTCCTGATGAGTAATTTCAGTCGAAAGGGAATCGAAAAATCAGCCACTTCATCCAACTCGGTACAATCAACGAAACTTTTCCTATACTCCATCAGTACACGCTTATCTTAAAAGTAAGCAAATCTATGTTTGCAAAGCAGGGAAACAAGACATAGCTGGTCACTACAAACTCCAACAATACGTACTTTACTTTTCTTCTTGATGTTAAACGGCTGCTAAGCGAACGCAACTTTAGTACGGTCATATTACTTACAAGTCGCAGAATTTCGCTTGAATATTCTCACAATTAGACGAACTAATATCTGTTCGAGCAGACGGCCTTCACGAACGTCACATGCACGTTCGTGATAGTGTGGTAATATATGATAATTCCTAGTATTCATCCTGTGTTAGTGGGGCAGCCCCAGCCTGAATTAGGGACATGGCCTTAAAGGTGAATGACTAATGAGCTCCACTAAGTGTTAAGCTGTGGTCTGACGCCTCATCGTTAGCGCAGATCCTTTAAAAAAATCCCTTGTGATGAACGAATAGACAAGGAAGAGTCACTATGCAAATGAATGGCTGTGTATTTCCTAACTGACTTTCCTGAAATAGGTACCAGTAACTCTTCCCAAAAACGGTCATCGAGCTTCACTGTGATTGTATCCAAGGTTAGCAGTAATTCATAAACATGAGAATTTTCGGTCTTCAAATTTATCTTGGAGCATAATGGTCTGGTGGAAAAGGTGAATATTTCATTCCGGTTTCGTCAAACAGGTCTAAACAAATCAACTTAATGTTGAAAGAGGATGATTGTATTCTTGGATATTGAAACACAAAATGTTAAATGGCCGTAACATTCAGACTATGATTACTTTCACCAGTGACACCGTGTATTTTGAGCATATGTGAATAACAGAATCCACACCAGACCGCTTCAATGGGTTCTTCGTTCCCTTGGTTGACGGTAGGGTGGATTTTTGAAGCAAAAATGTTTTTTTTCATAGCAAGATTCACATTTTGTCCAGGTGTGCCTGGTAGTTTGTGATTGGATACTAACCAGAATGGAAAAAAATCGTGAGTACTTGACTTAGCACTGATATGGCCGTCACAGGAAAACAGCATCCTTACTACGATACCCTTACGGCAACATTTGTCAAAATACTTGCGATAGAAAGTAACCATAATGGAGCAACTCTACTCTTGAATGCTTAATGTGAGTGCTAAATATGACAAGTAATCCATGAGAACACCGCGAACTCGCTTTGAGAACTACAGGACATCCCACCAGCATTCAGTTGGTGGAGCCGGCAGGGAACCAGAGTGCACAATGTGTGAATACTGAACCATGTAATGAACAACCAAACAGAGGCTGACGATATATTGGTGGACATTATGTTAGACGCAGATCTGGTAATCCACAAGCTCCACAAGCAACAAACAAACCAGTTGACATTCGTAAGCTTCGACAGATACAAAAACCGAATTCTTTAATACAATCAACAGATATATAAGTTAGTATGCTAGATATTGCCGGTAATTGATTCTATTCATATATTAGAAGGCGAGATATGAGGCCCGTAATTCTGAAAAATAGAGGGTAGCATTTTAACCCACCGTATACAGTGGTCTCTTAAGTAGAAAATTACCAGTGAATCCAGATCACAGTGGCCATAATTGGCGAAATTAACCAATCCCATCGCTTTCTACAATGCCCAAATAAGCCTAAAGTCAAATATTGGACTTGATGACAAGTTGTATATTTTAGTTTTTAGGTGTTCCCTTTCACTATTCGTTGTCTGATCTCGGCTGAACAGTATTTGACATACG